CCTTCTAGCACACTGTATTAATTTGCAAACATATGCAAATTTAATCATATTAAACTTATTATGTCAAACTGTGTACCATGGTAAAGCATAATTGTTGAGACTAATAAACATATGAAGGTGATATTTGCATCATGGGATGGCTACTGGGTTTATTATTTTTATTTATTACTTAATATTCAGATACCTGCACAACCTTCCACAGAGGTATCAGAGTAGTAAGCATAAAAACAACAATAAATATATACAGCAATCAACTGTATATGCCACTGTGTGCCACACATCAAAGTTGGCTGAATCATGCTTTGGGGAGAGCCTGTATGAGGAGGTGGGTTTGAGAAGGCACCCAAATGTCAGGGCTGTGAGGGTCTGTCCACCATCAGCTGGCAGAGCCCTCCAGGGAGTGGGCGCTGCAACCTGCCGTGTTCCCCTGCAAATGCTCCTGTGGCGAACCTCAGAAGTGCTTCCTTCCATGAGGAAGGTAATCCATCCTGGTAATTTGGATGCCAGGAAGCACTTCCTGACAGTTAGGGCCCCGAGGGTGTGGAATGGGCTTCCACAGGAGGTGGTTGAGGCCCCGTTGGTGAGGGTGTTCAAAGATAGGCTAGAGGCTGGAGCCAGGGGTCAGACTAGATGGCCCAGGATACACCTTCTGACTTGCTGTTTCTATGATCACAGAGATTCTGTTGGGATATAAGGGGCAAGGTGCTCCCCAAAATAGCCTGATCCCAAGTGGTTCACAGCTGCACTTTGAACTAGGTCTGGTAACTCAGTGGCCACCAGGGCAATTATTTTTGCAAGGGGCATTCTGTACCACCTGCAGCTTCAAACCAAACATAAAGGCAGCCCAACTTAGAACCTGTTACAATAATCCAACGTTGAGGTTACCAGTGCCTGCACCACCATCATGGTTCAGGAATGACTGTAGTCATGGTACTTGCTGAAGCTGCTAGAAGGTACTTCCAACCACAGGTCTCCTGAGCCGCAAGTGAAAAAGATTGATCTTGGAATACCCCCATTTATGCATCTGTTTCTTCGGAGGAGTGCAATATAAGTATTTCCTGGACTTTGATCCACTCACCTACACTACTTTTATCTTGTTTTGATTCAGACTCAGTTTTGTGGAACGCATCCGTCCAAGCACTGGTCCTGAGCCTGCACTGATTACCCCTGATTCAACAGAGTTGGCCGTCCACTGCATTCTGATGACACTTTATTCCGGGTTGCTGGTCCCAATGGCTGCATATAGATGTTGAATAGCGTCAGGGATCACACAGTGCCCAGTTGCACTTCATAGTGCCGGTGCCAGTGGCTTGAGGTGCACTTCCCTGACACTACTCTCTGACACTGACCTCTAAGTGAGGAATGTAACCACTGAAGTACAGTGCCCCAAATGCACATCCGACAAAACCAACTGGAATTTCATGAGTGATGGGGCCACAATCACAAGTGACATCAACTGAGAGGAACAAGGCTGTGCTCCCTCTAGCCCTTTCTTAAGATCCTCCAGTAGGACATCCAAGTTCAATTCAGCCCTAAAAACAGCCCCGAACCCAGACTGGACAGGGTCTAGAGAATCTGAGGATCAGTTTCATGCAAGAGTATCTTCAGATGTCCAGCCACTGCCTTCTCATTCACCTTAGCAGTTTCCACAGACCCTGGGGTCCAGGGTGGGCCTTTTCAAGAGTGGCTGCACCAGCACCTCCTTCAGATCAGGAGGCATGAACCGCACCCTGGACTCACTCAGCCAAGCCATGCTGGCTAGCTTCAATTAGTCATCAGAGACAGAGATCAAGAAGGCACAGGGTTGATTGTGTAACTGCAAGCGCCTTGCCCATGTCCTTAGACTGCAACAATTGGAAGTGACCCCACAAAACAGAGCTAGGTGGGCACTGGATTCATCGCTTGGATCTGCCTTAACCGTGGCTTCTAAATTGTGCCTGTGTCCTCAGCACAACGCAAAAGCATTGGCAGTGTCTCTGAGGCTCTAAGGGAGTTGCCTCTGGGGGGAGTGAATTCCAAACCACTTTGAAGGGGCTGCTGGCAGCTATTCAAGGATATGATAAAGGCGGCAAAATAAGCCTTTTTCACGGCCTGCACTGTCACATGGTGGGCAAGATTATGTATGGGCTCTAAGCAGTGCACCATCAGCTTTGGAGCAATGCTCCCCTACATCAGTGCTAGCTGTTCTTTGATCTGCCTCATTGCCCACAATTCCACTGAGGATCCCATGGATCAGAAGAGCTTCTGCAGAGCAGAACCTTGGGAGCCACCATTGCAAGTGGTCCTTTGCATCTTATCATCCCACAGAGAAAGAAGGCCAGGACATAATCACCAGCTCTATTCACCGGAGCAGCCTTTCTCAACTAGGCTGCCTGGGAACCATGGGGTTCCATAAAAGGTCACTGCAGGTTCCATGTGAGTTAGGGAAATAAATAGAATAAATGTTGTGTTTTCACCTTCATGTGCATGTGTGTTTAGAATATAAACACATACATGAGTTACTGGCTGAGGAGCTCTTCTGCTCTCCCTGGTTTCCTAGGAGAGGGGAGGAGTCCCAGGGAGAGCCCCCATCCAGGAGGGAAGGGGCTGGGGTGGGAAGCACACCCACCTCAGGCTGATGGGGAAGTGGCACAGCAGCAATTCCAGTGGCACAGTGGCCGCAAGTGCCCAGCAATGACCCTTATTCCACATCCTCTGTGATTTACAGAGGGGAGCAGGCCACTGTGGCTAGGGGTGAGCAGTAGGCCCTGGTTGGTGAGCAGCAGCAGGAGGAAGTGGTGAGCCACTGATGAAGCCTCCATGGGCAGAGGCAGTCTATCTCTGGGGCATGTTGCTGAGACAAAGAGGAGGAGGTGGCTGCTGCAGTTGCACCTGGCTGTGGGACCAGTCCCACAGCCAGGGCAGACTGAGCGAGAGGGGCCCTTCCCTGCTCAATCCATGAAGCAGTTCTTATGGGAAGGGTGGCAGGAAGGTATGTCACATTAATAAAATAATGACAGCAATAATGTAAATAAACTTCATGGTACTTCTGAGTGCATGTGCATAGGTTGGAGTGAGGGGTTTATAATTATAATTATTGTAATAATTTATAATATTTTATGCAGGGGTTCACTGGGATATGAACATTTCAAGGGTCTTCTTTTGGTTTTGGTCAGCCATGGTTAATTGCAGTCACAGTAACTAAGTCAGCAAATATGGGGGTCCTGCTGCTGTTGCCTTTAGGGGTGCAAGACAGATGAAATAAAACCTTGTGTGAAATATCTTTCTAGCTCAATAGAGTTTTACATTAAAGCAGGGGTGGGGAAACTGCGCCTTCCGGGACTCCAAATCTCACCATTTCTGACCATTGCCCAGGCCGACTGGAGTTTATGGGATCTACAATCCAACACCGTCTGGGAGACGCACAGAGCTGGCCCAAAGCAATCTGCCCCCTCGGTGCCCCCTTCCATTGCACGTGTGAAAGCTGCGGGGCAGCAGGGCCATCCTCCTTCAGTGCTGCCAGTGAGACAGCATCTGCCGCCACTTGCTAAGCTTAGGGGGCCAGGACAGGCAGCATGGCCCACAGATTTCTTCCAGCACCTGCTGCCTTGCCTGGCCTAATGACAGGGCCAGGCCTGAAGCCATGGCTCCCCTGTCTTCCTCTTAAGAGGTGTCTCCTACAGGAGGATGGGGTGGCAAGGAGAGGCCAGCTAAGCAGCCCTACGAGAAAGGGAACTGCTTCCCCGCGAGGGGGGCTCGGGAGCACTGCAGCTAACCATGCTGGATGGGGCAGGGTCAGCTAAGCAAGGCCGCTCTCTTAAAGGTTGCTATAGAGGCAGAGAAGTACGGCGGGAAGTGGATAAAGTGCCGAACTAGCCGTTTAAAAACCGGCCTGACTTGCTTTGGCCATTTAAAGGCACAGACGCAAAGGGCAGCTTCCGATTTGATTGACACAAGTGAATTAGCACATGTAAATGAGCGATGGCTATTTACACAGATACACACACGGGTAATTCCGGCTGCGGCTGACACCGAGTTCGCGGCGTGCCCGTGTGTGCGGAGGGAGGGGAGAGGGGCGCGGTGGCGGGCCGCGCGGGAACAGGTGTCCGAGGCTCGCCCGCTCGCGGGGATGCTGCTTCCTCGGAGGATGGAGGCGCGCCCTGCTGGGCTCGCCACCTCGACCGGGGCGCCAGCGCTCAGGAGGCGGCAGCCGGAGCCGGTCGCTGTCCTGCGGCGCCCCCTGGCGGCGCTCCGCGCACCGTGCAGGCAGGTCACGTGAGGCGCTCAGGGCCTGCCGCCGCCGCCGCTTCCCCCAGTCAGAGCGGAGCGATCCGAGGCAGAGACGAAGAAACAAGATGGCGGCCGGTGGCGATCCGGAGCGGGACGCCGGCGATTCGGATTGAGCCCTCGGCCCTCGCAACTCGGCGGCGCCCCTCCCTGGCCCAGAACTCTGAGCGCGGGGGGAGCTCCCCCGCAGCCGCCCGCCCGGAGCCCGAGTGCCCTCGCTAGCCTCTGCCCAGCCCGCTCCTTCTCTCCCCCACCCCCGGCCAGCGCCCAGCGATGCGGGGCCGGCGAGGCAGGCCGCCCAAGCACCAGCAGCCTGCGGCTGCCCCCGCTCGGGCGAGCACCCCGGCTCCGCCCGCCCCACCGGGCCCCATCGGGGGGCTGAGGTCCCGACTACGGGGCAGCAGCCGGGGCAGGTGGGCGGCCTCGGCCCAGGCGGCCGGGGCTGTAGGGCCCAGGCCGAGGGGGGTCGGGGCTGCCCAGGCCTCCTCTTCCTCATCCATCTCCTCCACCCCCAGGGGGGGCGGCAGGAGGAAGGGAGGTGGCGGCAGCAGCAGCAGCACCCCTGGTGGGGGAGGCAGTAGCGGTAGGGGCAGGGGCAGGGCTGGAGTGGCGGCGGCGGCGGCGGCAGCCACGGTGGGAGGAGGAGGCGGAGGCAGTCGCAGCAGCAGCGGCAGCCAAGGCAGGGCTGCCGCTGCTGCTTCTTCCAGGAGGAGCAGCAGCAAAGTCGTGTACGACGATCATGAGAGTGAGGAGGAGGAGGAGGACGAGAGCGTGGTGTCCGACGAAGACGAGGAAGGAGACCCGGAGGAGAAGCAGGACTCCGAGGAAGAGGAGGCGGTCATGGAAGAAGAGGAGGACGACGATGACTCCGATTACCCCGAAGAGATGGAAGACGAGGACGATGCCAGCTATTGCACTGAGAGCAGCTTCAGGAGCCACAGCACCTATAGCAGCACCCCAGGTACGGGGTATTTGTGTGGGGTGGGGGTGGGGGAAAGTATCTGGGGGAGCAGGGCCGCCCCCCGCGTCCCCTCCAGCCAGTCGGACTTGTACATACGGCACGGGCGAGGTGGGGGAAAGGCTTTCTAAGGGGCAAAGGGATGTTTACAGACGTGCGAGTGAAGAGGGAGGGGAAGTGAATTAGGCGATGCTCAAGCACAACAACAGGGATGTGCACATCAGCGGAGGGTGATGATCGTGTGCAAGCAAACATACACGGAGAAGGGAAATAATAGGAAGGGACTCCCTGCAAAAATAGGGCAAGATCCTGGTGGGAACATGTGTATAATACAATAGCGGCAGATCTGCAGGGGGAAAAAGCACTTGGGGAAAGGAGGGGTATGCTGCATCTAGATGACCTCTGTAAGCAGAAAAGTATTCTGTGGATGCTTGATTTTGCACACGTCTAGGTTTATTAAATGTAGGGAAAAAAGTGCATTCAGAGGAGAACCTGTATTAAATGTTAGTGAAAGTGCTTATCATTTAAATGTCATGTGTAAATCTATTTTCTGCTAATGATTTTAATACACCTTATTTAAAAAGCTTCTATGGATTACTAATTTATTTCAAGTTTAACCATTTTTGTTAAAAAGACTTTTTAGCTGTCTGCATTAGCTATTTGTTTTATAAATTATTCTGTGGCTAGATTAACAATTAACAATTATATTATTCCATTTTTAGACATTAATGTTGTATGCCTCATCTAGGATTTTAATCGTAGTATGGATGGTGCTCGACTTCAAACTGTAATAAAAAAAACAAGTAGGCTGACTCTGTAATACTCACTTATCCAGAATAAACCTTACTGAATGCGATAGTATTTATTTATGAGTGTCCTGTGTAGTACTGCAATGTTGATTAAGTGAAATATATGAGATCTCAGGTACTTAACTATATTGAGTTGGCATGAAAGCAAACTTTTTGTAACTATTTAGAAAGTATGTAAATATCAGGATCAGGACCCAAATATTATAAGATAATATGCTGAGAAGACAATTCAGTGATCAGTCAGTTTGACTTGGAAAACTGTGACATGCTGAAATATTTTACAGAATATGCTGAGGACAGTAGCTTTATCAAACTTTGAGAAAGTGGCATTACTGTGCATTTTTGCAACCTTTCCATTTATTGTTAGGAAATGTTATAAAATCAAGCGTTCATCCTGAACTATTTCATCAGATCTGAATTAATTGAATATGGGAGGGTTTTTTTCTTATCATTTATGGTTTTTCTTTCACCCTGATCTTAGACTGGCAAAATAATTATTTTGTAGCACTAACAAATTTTAAATATCCAGGATAATTGGATTTTTTGATCCAAGGAAACCTTCATAATTTATGCACTTTTAGGATGCAAGGCTGTGGTTTGTGTCCTCGATGATTGTAAGCTGCTGAACTTGATCTTTGCTTCCCTGTATTTTTTGCTAGTTGGGCTTTTTGATCCTTCTAGAGATGTTTCAGAAAGGGAGGAAAGAAGGCAAGAGAGGCCTCACAATAGCTCACATGCTGGCCTCTTCTGCCTCCTTTTTTTCCTATTGAAACACTCTTCCAAAACTGCTTCTGACCTGGCTGGCCAGAGATGCTTGTACAGTGAGACTTTTGGGCAGCCAAATCGATTGGTCGCCATGATATGCCAGCTGCAGATATTGCCTCCACCTGTTGACCTACTTTGTGCACTCATTTAGCGCTGACATCTTAGAATATGCACTATTAAAATGTTTTTGTAAAGTGCTAAAAGACTAAGGTGTTGTAAACAATTCTTAATATGTCAACTGTAGTAGCTAATAATTCTAAGCAGTGGTACTATGAGAATCTTTGCCTTGGTAAACCTCATTCTCCTGAGCCTTTTACAGGCATGGCTCGATGGAGATGTAATACTCTTCAGTTGCCTGACTGTGGTGTGCCTTACGAGTTTCATCCCCACACTTCATATGCAAGTGGAGCAAAGCTTGTGAAGCATTAACAAGCTTTGCTAATGCTTTCACGCGAGAGTCTCAGTCATGGTTAAAAGCAACGAGGGTTAGCAGAAATGCTTGCTGGTGGAGGGGGAATTCATGTGTGGAGAGAGAGGAGATGAAATGTGCAAGTCTGTTGAATGCTTCTCTTCAGTTAGCAGATTGGGGTTGTTTAAAAATGCTGGAGAATTATGTTTTGCTTTCTAAAGGTAATCACTTAGTAGTAACCTTTCCTATGTACAGAAAGCTAAAATGTTATCATAGAAAGTCAAGAGTTTCACAAGCATGTGTTTTCATTGTACTTGCAGTTGTTTACCGGCTGTTAATGTGCAAGGATGGAAGAGTTTAATAAAGCTAACTTCCTATGAGGCTCCAAACCAGAGGTAGAGACATTTTTCTCTCAGGAGGTTCACATACCGGTAGTGAATGGTGACAAAGCCCAAAGTGGGCAGCACTGCCCAAGCACACAGGCACCCTCCTCTTTATGTGTACTGTGCTGTGCACTCTGAAAGGGAGCCTTCTTTGCAATCTGCAGCAGAAAAGGAAAGCAGACACTGCCCATAGAAGAAGTTGTTCCTTTTCTTCTTGGGCAGTTTGCTTTTCTACTGTTCTGCATGCTACAAAAGCGGCACAGCATGGAAATAAAGCCTGCCTCTTGATCAGAGTCTCGTTCTCCCTTTTTTTTCCCTTGAGAGAGAGGTGTTCGCTAGGCACAGGAAAGTATATGTACCACCATGGAGAGTGGCAGCAAGAGCATCTTTAGCCAGCATCCCTGTGTGAGCCTGCCTGCCTAGTCAGTGTTATCTGCCTCCCTCAGGGGAATGAGTGAGACAGAGATGCTGACTGAGAGGCAGTCAAATATGAGGCAGCCTGCTGTGGGGTGGAATCAGGTGAGGGAGTGGCCTTGGGAGACTGATATGGTTCAGATTCTAAGGTCTTGAGGTCTACAAGTTTGCTGCTCTTGCACCAAACCTCTTCTCAAATAAGATAAATATTTCATTGCCATGCTGTAGGATTTCAGTAATCCTTATCAGGGGCCCCTTGGCAAATGGCATTAAGGTAGAAAAGTGGGCTGCCATAATGACTCTGGCTGGCGCTTTGTCCACAGTGATTGTTACTTGTCACCCAGGTCAGAATTAACTAACGAAGCGTCAGTCATTTTTGCTGGAAAACTCCACCCACAGTGGTATGTACTACAGTCACATAACACAGAAGTGCCAAAAGCGAGCAGCCTTCCAGTATTTGATTACATAGGCACATATTGCCTGGCATTTATAATATCATTTTGGTTAGAACTAAGATTAGCAATGCTATGTGTGGCTTCAACTTTTGTCAGGCACTCTTTTGAGGCCCAGTAAACCGCCTATCTAGGTTTTGTTGCAGAAGTGAAATTGTCTTCAGTCTTCATGAATCCTGTATTCATTAGGAATTTTTTCAAATTTAGCTATCCACCTAGATGCTATCACACATGACATAAATGCCACTGGAAATACTATATGCTCCTAGTTACTCTTCTGTTTTTGCCTCTTGGGTAACCATACTCAGTTAATTGCTCTGCAAGCCTTTTGTGTGTTTCTCTTATCCCTTTCAGTCCCTTTGTGAATACCCAACTGGTAGCTGCTTCAGTGAATTTTAAGTCACCCTGACTCAGCTAAGAAATAACCAACAATTAAAACACAACAATAAAAACAAAGACACATTGCTAAGCAAATATACTACAAGAAAGCCAGAGGAACACCAATCATATCACCTCAAAAGCCCAGCAAAATTCCACAATCTTGATGGCCCAGCAAAAAGCTTACAGTTTAGAAGGTAGTCAGTTCTCCAGGCAAGGCAATTTCATAATCTGAGCTGTTGTAGTATGCTGGATCCAAATATTAGGAAAATGTTGGAACCTGCTATGTGTTAGGTGTGTTCAGAAACAAAATGCAAAAAGCAGCAGTACAATTAAACTGAGACTTCTTTCAAATAGTTTTACTTAAATATTTTGATTGTCTTAATGAACATTATATCATTTCAAGAGCTTTTAAATAGGTGAATTATAAGCATATAAACAAGTGACACACAGCTAAGGATGAGTACAATAGAATAGTTTGAATCTGTAAATATGGGTAAAGCTGAGAAGCTGCTGGAACAGGAAGGTAAATAGGCTAGATTTAGTTCTTGGGGAAGATGAAGAAGTCTTAATGGTTTACTGGGAGAAGGAGTGACTATTCTTTCCTGTTTTGCCTCAGTTTTCTCCAGCAAGAGGAATTAAGTTCAACCTGGGATACATAGATTAAAGTATAAAAAGAGGTCTTGCTATCTAATATAGGGAAAGAAATGATTGAAGAACATCTAACTACTTTAAATTAGTTCTGATTACCAAGACTAGATAAATTACATTGCAAGGTGCTGAAAAGAGTTTGCAGGTGTTATTTTATAGATGCTATCTGTAAAATTTTGGAAAGACAGGAGAATAAATGAGATACTAGTTTGGAGATGACCAAATATCCATCTTGTCAAAAGGGATGGGAAAGATAGATACTGGAAACTACAGACTAGTCAGTCTAATGTCAGCACTTGGCAACATTCTAGAACAGATTAACAAGTGATTGTTGTGTGAACACCTGGAAAATAATGCATTGATTATGAAGAATCAGCATAAAGCATTAATCTCACTAGGCCAGCCTTGCCTCATTTTTGGTTAGCTGTTCGTTTGGTAGAGTGATGTGGTTCCAGTATATTTTGACTTCAGTGAAGCATTCAGCAGGGCTTGCCATGATATACTTTCTGAGAAGATGGCAAAATATGCAATGGATTATATTAATCTTGGGTGGGCCCACAGCTAGTTGAATAACAGTGCCTAGGAAGTATTTGTTATGGCCACGTGTTATTCTGGAGGGAAGCCTTGAGTGGATGGCTCCAGGGCTCCATTTTCCTCTTACCGCTGTTCAACATTGATATAAATGCCTTATATAAAGTCATACTGGGTATGCTTATCAAATATGCAGGTGACCTGGGTCTGA